GCTGCCTCAGGTCAGTCTTATCCTCCTCACTGCCCTGGGGAGGGGGCGGGGCTGTTCATGCAAATGTACTTCCTCCCTTAGCTCTCAGGGACCCATCTGATCACTGATGCTGGACTCTGAGAGGGGCCTGAGGACCTAGAACACCGAGGAAGGGGAATGCCCACAGTTTGGCCCCTGTGAGGGTCACTGAGGGAACAGATGTTGATAACACATCTGGTACCATCCCAGGAGCTTTTTCCAGGACAAAGAGCGCACAGCTGCTGGGTCTTCTCTGTGAGAAAAGAGGGGCTCAGATTCTCCCTCCAGTGGGGTCACCTGGCTGTGAGACACACCTTTCAGATCTGAGGGACAGCTCCATAGACCCCTGCTGGACACCTTTCCATCTCCAAGGTCCTTAGCTTTCTGCCTCAGAACTTTGTCACCATCAGTCAACCAACAGTGACTGGGATGTCTTTGTGAAACATTGTTCTCAGCTATAGTTTGTGGAGCTCTGGTAGCATAGTGCCTAAGGCACTTGACTGCTAACCAGAAGGCTGGTGGTTCAAACCCACCAGCCACTCCTCGGAAGGAAGGTTGGGCAATCCTACTTCCGTAGTGATACTGCCTCGGAAACCCAAGGAGGGGTCGCTATGAGTCGGGGCCGACTCGACGGCAAACAACAACAACAACAACATAGTTTGTTGAATTTTAACACATTTTCTGTACTTTAGGGAAGTTTTCAATATAGAAGGGGATATATTGGAGACAATCCTGTGAACATAAGAAACTCTTTGAAATGTATTAAAGAGCAAGATCTTCTCCCTACCTGCGGTTTTTAGTGAGCTTCTCCTAAGAGGCTTTCTTCAAGCTGCATCTGGAAGGATAAGTCGGGATGTGGTTCTCCAGGAGAAGTAGATGAAAAGAAAATAAGTGTGGCCCCGTTCAAACCACAAAGGAATGCAGCATTGTTACAGACTGGAAACCAGGGAGGATGTGTTGCAAACTGGGGACGAGAAGAGCTGTAGGGGGCAGGGCGTCATTGGAGAGGATGCTGTCTGGGAAGCGGGAATCAGAAGGAGGAACAGGAGGAGGAGCTGCATTGGAGTGATGTGCAACAGTAGACCTCTTAGGACAGGGGAGCAAGGACCTCTGGGGTGAGAAATGAGAGAGAGCATGTTACAAACGGGAGGTGTTTAGTGTGGACACTAGGTGGATGGTGTTCTATCTACTGCAGTGGAGAGTAAGGTCAGTAGGTACTTGAATATCTGGAATGCATTTCAAAATACTGAAATGGTTGGCTCAATTCTTGTCAGCTAATGATGTGACCTAACAGTTTTTATCATGTGACTGTGTGCTGTTTGCAGTTAATGTTGAGGGGATATGGATACTGAGAAGAGACAAAAACTTGGATACCCACCAAACTACAGAATGTGTAAAGTACTGAAATCTATTTCTCTGGTTTATGTTTCCTCTTCTTTAGATTCCTTTAATTTGTTTAATCATCGCCTAACATGTTACATTATATTATTGTAGTTGATGCCTTGGAGTTGTGTCGGCGAACATGACTGAGAATACCAGGGACTGCCAGAGAGTGACCAAATCTGTCTTGGAGGAAGTGCAGCCAGAATGTTCCTTAGAAGCCAGAATGGCCAGACTTCCTCTCACCTATTTTTGTCATGTTATCAGACGGGTCCAGTCCCTGGCCAAGGATATCATGCTTGATAAAGCAGAAGGTTAGCGAAAATCGTGAAGACCCTCAACGAGATGGATTGACACGGTGGCTGCAATGATGAGCTCACGCATGACAAGGATTGTGAGGATGGCACTAGGCCCTGTTTCGTTCTGTGGCACATAGGGTCGCTATGAGTTGGATCCCACTGGATGGCCCCTAACAACAACAAAGAAAGCCATTCAGTCTCTTTATTCTTGTCAAAGTGTTACTATTGAATAATAAAGAGGACAAGAATCAGAATTTCTAACCTAGATGAAGAATTATTTACTGCTTGTTAAACTTGTTAAAGGAGCTCTGGTAGCATAGTCCCTAAGGCACTTGACTGCTAACCAGAAGGCTGGTGGTTCAAACCCACCAGCCACTCCTGGGAAGGAAGATGGGGCAATCTACTTCCATAGTGGTACTGTCTCAGAGGCCCAAGGAGGGGTCGCTCTGAGTCGGGTCCCACTCGATGGTACATAACAACAACAACAAACTTGTTAATGAACTCTGGTGGTACAGTGCATAAGGCACTTGACAGTTAACCACAAGGTTGGAGGTTCAAATCCAACAGATGCTTTGCAGAAGGACAATGGGGCAAACGACTTCCCTAAAGGTTTACAACCTGGAAACCCAACGGGAGTTTCTGTGAGTCCGAATCAACTAGATGATGGTGGGTTTATTTTTTGTTGCTGTTAAACTTGTTACCACTGAGTGAATTGCCTCAGCCATCCTCATCCTCCCACCAGACAGATAAACAATGTCTATTTCAAAGGCTTCCAATTACAGTTGATTCAACCATCTCCTAAACCAAATGAACCAGGTTTACATTTTAAGGACTTCAGCTCAAACTGGCCTGATCTACATCCATTCACAAGACCCCCACCTCAAAATGCTTACACTGTGGGCCTTAGGAATACTGCCTCAGTCAAGCTGAATCAGGAGAGAAGGAGTTAATGTTTGGCTAGGAACTGTTGTTAAGGAAGCTTGTGATTGGACAATTCCTTGTAAACTTTCCTCCCTTCCCCTGAAGCTTTCTCTGTTGTGAAACCTGTTTCCTTTTCAAATAAGAATGGACTGCTTCTCCTGCAAGGGAGGACACACACCACATTTTTAATTTGTAGGATGCAGAGTGGGCTCCATTTCATGAAATGCAAGGATTCCTTCAATAAAATACTTTGTTCAAATCTCCTACAGTGTTTCCCATAAGACAGCTTTAGGGAGGAGTATCATCACGTCATCATTGCAGTGTTTCTGGAACACCCTCATTTTTAAAATAAAAAATATATATATATATATATATATCCACACCTTCAGCCTCAGCGGGGTCAAGATGACCTCAATGCCTTCTGTCCTCGTTGGTCTCTCTCTGCATCTCAGTTGTCATCTTCTCTATGGTAGAGCCCATTCGTCCCCCGTGTCCTTCTCTCCCACAGCCTAGGAACTCGTCAGTTCTCCCATGACTTCAGAAAAGGCAAACGATTTAAGGCTTCCACTCCTGCTGTCCATAATCTGTGTCTATGTCCATGGATCTAAAATGAACTTCCCAGCCCATTGCTGGAATCCCCTCAGTTCTTAATTTGGAAGTTAAGTTAGTTATCTTCTAAGGGTGATCATTCAAACGAACTTCCATGAGCTAGGACTGAGGTCTTGCAACTGAGACCAAAAGTTCAATTTGGGTCAAAATGTCTTGGGACCCTTTACATAGTGACCCAGTAGAAAAGCAGAAGGGACACCAGGTTCTGTTAGTATGTTTACAATTAATACAGATTTCTGAACTCTTGAGCAGCCTGGCATAGCAACTTTATTCCCAGTGAGCTCATGGCAAGAATCACCATGTCTGGCTCTTGCAATGAAAATTATCAAGAAAACACCCAACATATTTGGTAGAAAAGAACACCAGGCAATTTCTGGAGCCACAAGCCAGCCTTGCTATTAAGACAGAGATAATAATTTTTGTCTCAGTTCCTCATTCATCTGGATCAGTGTGTTTAACCATATTGTCCCCCAGTGCCATAATCTGCACCACAGATGTAGTCAGCCTCGTCCTCAGACTGCACGTTGGAGATGGTCAGGTAGCGGTCAGCCCCAGAGCTGGAGCCTGAGAAGCAATCGGGGATCCCGCCCCCCTTGCTGTGGCTTCCGTCACTCTTAACATACATCACATACCGAGGAGAGTTCCCTGCTCTCTGCTGAAACCATCCGATGGTGTAGGTGCTGTGCTGACTGCCCAGGGTGCAGGTGATTTTGACGGAGGCTCCCAGGGAGGCAGACGCAGAGGGCGCCTGGGTCAGCACAGGCTGTGAGAGGGACCCTGAAACACAGACACTCATTATGACTGGAGCAGGGACAAGAGAGGACATGTCTGGAAGGAGTCTGGGAGGTAATTTGAGGGAGCAGGGAAACAGGGTGTTGGGGCCATGCTGACCTGGGCAGTGAAGGAGGAAGGTGAGGAAGACGAGTGGGGTCCAGGCCATGGTGCAGACACCCCAGAGCTCTGCTGAGACAGACACACCGCAGGCCTCTCTGGTCCCCTTTAAGCCTCAGAGCAGAGAGGAGCCCCTCATGCAAATGTGTTCCTCCTCCCCTGGTGAAGCAGGCCTCCAGGGGTTGCATCCCCAAGGGCTGGGTGTCATTTCTAGGAGGGCTGGCTGTGGGCTGCTCCCCAGGGACCCAGAGAGGCGCCAGCTGCTGAGCAATAACCTGAGCAGAGACCAGGAGGCAGGTGGTTGTTTTCCCAGCTGAGACCACAAAGGCCCCTCAGCGGCAGGCACACAGCGCCCTCTGCTGCCTCAGCCCATTTATGTCTGTGACCAGATGCCATGTGATCCTGACCGAGGCTCCTGCCTCCTCACTGCCCTGACCAGCGCCTGCTGCCTCGCCAAGGGCAGAGCAAGGATTCCTCTGTAGGGATCCCCTCATCTCCTCTAGGTCTTTACTTGACTACCCTCCACAGTAAGAATCTGAACCACAATTCACTCTAGAATAGAGGGAGTTCTCAGGGGAGGGGGTGTCTCAGGTACAAACTCTAAATGAAATTACAATAAGTGTATTAGCTGAGAAAAGGGAAAGTCCAACGATGAAATCACTTCTCATCTGCTCATAAAGAAAGGCTTCTTTCTACCCACTGGCTTCCTCTCTTGATCGGGACTTGGGGAGCTTGGTGAGTGTTTGGAAGAATAAATTGGCACACTGGATAATTACTGGATTTATGGAAAAATAAGGAGAACCCCAGGAAGTAGAAGAAGAAGTATTAGCAGGAATGAAAAAGAATCAACAGACTTGGGACTACTTTGGAATGAGGGATTACAGAGATTAAGGAAAAGGAAGGTGATGGAGGTGTCAAAATCCAAGGAAAGGTCTGCAAACAGTCAATGTCTGTTTTTGATGTATGCATATAAAACTTGGTAATTCATTGAGAAGGTCACTGGAGACAAGGAAGTGTAAAAGAGGGAAACAAACCCCAAATTTTTAAAGGAACAGTCATTACTCAGAGATGAGAAGAGGGGAGACTGAGAATGGCCTGCATGTTAGAAAAGACTTGGAGAGAGCCAACAGGGGGACTGGGCAAGAGCTGGAAGGGCTGTTCATGTTGAAATGAGGTACTTATCATTTATTTCTGTTTTTGCTTTTGAAAGAGGGAGAAGCCTCTCCACCTTATGCAACTGTCTTCTTTGGTGCGATTCATGCATTGAGTGTGGGTTGTGTTTTTTCTTTGTCAGGGAAAGTGGAAGGAAGTGCTTCAGCCATGAGCTCAGTGGTCCCAGAAAGTGTGTGAATGGGCTGGTTTCCTGCATTGTGAGCAGTTTGGAAACTGTTGGGTTATCCTTTATTTCCTTTCCACCAGGACCTGCCTCCACAAAAGATTACACACATTTTCAGTGGGCTGTCATGAAAGGCTCACCAAGTAAAACTTACTGTCATCAAGTTGTATCTGATTCATAGCAACCCCTCCTTTTGATTTCCGAGGTAGTATCACTATGGGAGTAGATTGCCCAATCTTCCTTCTGAGGAGTGGCTGGTGGGTTTGAACCGCCAGCCTTCTGGTTAGCAGTCAAATGTAAAGAATAAAATGACAGCCTACAAATTGGGAGAGAAATCCAGGAACTGTGTATTCAATGTTGTTGTTTTGTACCATCAATCAGTCGTCCCTCACAGTGGCCCTCTGTACAAGAATGAAACACTGAACAGTGCCGCAGGATCCTGACGATGGTTGCCATACGCAAGTCCATCACTGCAGCCACTGGGCCAATCGTCTCACAGAGCATCTTCCTCTTCTTCCCTGACCCACTACTGTACCAAGCACAATGTCCTTCTCCAGGGATTGGTCCCTTCTGACAACATCACCAAAGTGATGGAGTCTGGCCATTCTCACTTCCAAGGAGTATTCTGGCTGCACTTCATCCAGGACAGATTGGTTCATTTCTCTGGCACTCCATGGTATTTTCAGTATCTGTTGCCAACACATAATTCAAA